CCCCCGACACACACACACACATACCTCGATTGGTAAACTTTAGAACTGGGGACAGATCAAGATTCCCGCCCCCATCCCCCATGGAAACGTGGAAGAGGGGAAAGGCCGGTTTGCTGATGGCCGGCTTTAGAAGTCAAGAGGTAACACCACCTCCGTCGCCACGCGCCTCCTGTCTCCTTTTTTAAGGACGTGAGAAGCTGGTGACATTATCAGAAGCTGCTTCAAAAACTGACATTTCAGTGGGGGGAATAAAGGGGGGAAAATCAGTGTGTTTGCGAAGGGCAAACCCCTCCCCCCGAGCTTTGTGGTTCCACCTTTCATTCTTTCTCTTGTTACTCTTTCTTCTGGCGGATTCCTCACTGGCATTTTGCTATTCTGTTTCATGGTCTTTGTCTCCCAGGGTTTCTTACACGGATGCTCTTAAGGGGCCACCAAGGAGGAACGGACTGGTTTTGGCCTGTGGGAATTCCCTCCCCCCTTGGTAATGGAGTGTTGGGAAGAGAAATGTGTGTAGCAGTTGTTCACTTCTCCTCCTCTCTGCCTTGACTTTGAAAACACAGGAGAAACGAGTGTGTCTGGTGCCCAAAAGCAGGGCACCTTTGGGGGGCTTGGGCAGAGCTGGGATCTCCTTGACCATACAGGGAAACGGGAGTTTCACAGATTTGGAATTTAGGACTGGTAAGGAAGTGAAGCCCTGCAGGACCCCAGACCTCTAAGCGAGGTACCAGGGCCTACCCTGGGAAGTGTTCTGGGACGTTGGATGTGGTAGTGCCAGCCTGCGGGCCCAACACTTGGTAAGCTGAAGTAGGAGGGCTGAAAGCTTGAGTATAGCTTGGGTGCTGTGGGCAGATCCTGCCTCAGTCACCAAGACAGAGTTCTGGGTGGCTTGGGTTGTGAACTTGACAAAAACACTTTATTTATAGAATATATTATATTTACATAATTGTTAGTTCCCATATAATCGCTTACACCTACTTTCTTCTGTTCTGAGACGATCATCTTATTCCAGGAGAATCTTGACAGTTTGTCGTCTTGTTTTGTTGTAATTATCTAAGTTGCCTGGGGCTCAGCATGGGTGAGATTATGGGTTCTGTTCCAGCAGTGAAATAAAAATAAGAAAGATGATCATAGACTAGGGATAGAGCTCAGGTAGAACATTTGCCCGGTAAGTTTGAGGCCTCGGACTAGATTTCCCAGTACCACCAAAGCCCCACAAAACAATCCTCAAGTGCCAGGTGTGGTAGTGTGGACCTGTATCCCAGCATTTGGGACACTGAAGCAGGAGAAACTCAGTGTTTTGTTTTTGAGACAGGGTCCTTCTGTGTAGTCCTGGCTGTCCTATAGCTAGTTATATATGCCAGGCTGGCCTCGAACTCACAGAGATCCTTCTTCTGCCTCCCAAGTGCTGGGATTAAAGGCGTGTGCTACCATGCCTGGCTGTAGGAGGAGCTCAGTTTAAGAGCAGCCTGGCTACAAAGTGAGGTCTTGTCTTCAGAAAGGCAAGTGGTTATACATACACCTGTAACCTGAGCACATGTGAGGTGGATGAAAGGAGCGGAAGTTCAAGCCAGTCTGTACTCTTTGAGAGGCTGATTCTCTCTTCCCGCAAATCCTAACAGTGTTGAAAGTTATACAGAAATACAGATACACACATATATATGCACATCTATGTGTGCATATGTATATGTAAAGTGATGTTGAGGAAAAAGTCATGTTTCTCAAAATCCTCAGTCCCAGATATATTCTTGGGGCCAGAAAGAATTTTCAACCTCTAAGCCAGTGGTTCTCGACCTTCCTCATGCTGTGACTCTCTAATACACTTCCTTATGTTGTAGTGACTCCCAACCATAAAATTATTTTGTTGCTACTTCCTACCTGTAATTTTGCAACTGTTAGGAATCGTAATGTAAAAATCTGTTATGTGCCAGGCAGTGGTGCACGCCTTTAATCCCAGCACTCGGGAGGCAGAGGCAGGCGGATCTCTGTGAGTTCGAGGCCACCCTGGTCTACAGAGCGAGATCCAGGAAAGGCACAAAGCTACACAGAGAAACCCTGTCTCGAAAAACAACAACAAAATCTGATATGTGACCCTCAAAGGATCGTGACTGCTCTAGGCTAAAATGACATTGGGGTGGTGTGAAGATTTCACCCCTTTTTTATTACATACATTTATTTATGTGTGTGTGTGGGGGGTGTATCATGTCACAGTGAGAATGTGGAGGTCAGAGGACAACTTGCAGGAGTTGGTTCACTCTTTCTACCCTCTGGGTCCTGGGAATCAAACTCATCAGACTTGGTAGCAAGTGCCCTTACTCACTGAGCCATTTTTGAGATAACCCTGTGCTTTCCAAGCTGGCCTTGAACTTGCTGTGTAGTCTATGGTGGCCTTGAACATCATGCTTCTTCCACTTCCTGCTGGGATTATAGACTTGTACCTACCATTCCTGACTTTGGGGTGTGGTTAAACATGGGTTCTGAAGGCAAGTCAAAGCTGGGTGTGTAGATTTCCAATGGTCTCTGTAACAAATGACCACAAATTTGGTGGCTTAGAGCAGTAGAGATATACTCTCTCATTTCCTGGTCACATTCTGAAATCTAGGTGTCACAAGGCCACTTTCCCTCTGGGCTGGAGGGAAGAAGATTGCCCTCTTACAGGTCCCACTGGCTCCAGGCACTCCTTGACTTTCTGTAACCAAACTCTAAGCACCCCTTACTTCCTGTGGCTTCTTATTTGCCTCCGTGTACTTGTTTTCCTGTTTTTGTTTTGTTTTGAGATGGTCTCATGTAGAGACTTCTTGGGGCCTCAATGCTTTGGTCAAGCTGAAGGACACTGACCTGTTCATTATGAGCCTGCATACTTCCAGCCAACTTGTGTTTGCAGTTCCCAGGATCTGAATTTGTACATAGGCTGTAAGGAGGGTTTGTCAGAATACCAGAAGGAATTTTCTTTTAAAGTTTTTGGAGTCAGGGGTTCTCTGTGTAGCCCTGGCTGTCCTGGAACTAGCTCTGTAGACCAGGCTGACCTCGAACTTCCAGAGATCCTTCTGCCTCTGTCTCCCAAGTGCTGGAATTAAAGGCATATGCCACCACTGCCCGGCCACAGGAATCTTCTATTGCTTCAAATGTTTAGAGATGTCTGTGGGTCCTCTGAGGGCCCTGAACTAAACTCTGGAGTCTGACAGGTGCTGGTCAGTCCCATCGCCTTTAGTTGGCCTCAGGAGCGGTCTGTGCCTGTGTCTGTGCAGCAGCACCTCCCTGCCCATAGCCCGTGTCCCTCTGGGGCTGAAGGGCTGGAAGAAGAGAAGAGAAGGGTTTCTAGAGCAGGGCATTTGTAGCGAGTGTTTGTCAACAGTATTTCTAAATTTTATGTTCTTTGGTAATTTCATATATGAATACAATGTATTTAGATCACATCCACACCCAAGAACATTTTTACAGATGTTATTTTTATATTATTGTTACTAATGTTGAGACAAAGTCTTATGTTGCTAAAGCTGACTTCAGATACACAATGTAGCTGATGACCTTCAGTCCCAGGTCCTCTTGTCCCCAGTCTCTCCAGGGCTGGGAGTACAGACATGCAGCACCATGCTGGTTTATGCTGTGCTGAGGATGGAACCTTGTGTGTAGTAGGCAGACCTTCTGCCTGCTGAGCCTCAGCCCCAGCCATCAGGGTAGCATAGGAAGAGCTGGTTTTCTAGGATGCCCCTTAGTTTTGTACCCCTTGATGGGAGAGCGATTCTTGGGCCTCTGTTTCTGGGCAGCTGTGCCCTTCATTGGGAAGTGTGGCAGCTAGCTCCAGAAGGTCCTCTTCTGGTCCCCCTGCAGAGTGGTTATCCTTCCCAACTCTCCTAGTCATTTGAAGTCACTCTGGCTATTATCCATGGGGATTGGCCACATGGCAGGCAGCTACTGTAACCAGGCCACTCTCCCTGGCATGGGCTTTCCTCGGTCTTGAGGAAGTGTTGGCATGGCCTCTACAGGAATATAGGCTGCCACCCCTTGAAGGAAGCAGCGTCTCAGAAAAGCCCAGCCTGGGCTGGCTAGAAGGAGAGCAGAGTTGACTTTCAGTTGCTCAGTCTGGCACCATCTCATCTGGAGATGCCCAGGTCATTTTTCTGTCTTAGTCAGCAAGAATGAGTTTGGATGATATCCTGCTTGCTCCTTAACCCCTTAGGAAGAGATGCTTTGCCTGTCTGATAAGGAAGGGCTGATGTCATTTTGGTGAGAGGACATCCAGTGTGGAAAGGCAGGAAGAAACCCCTCTGGGCTGTACTCAGACAGTAGAGTGTCTGCCTAACATGCCTTAAACAGTCTTGCATAACCCTGTATCAACCAGGCATGTTGCTGTACACCTGTAATCCCAGCACTGGGGAGGCTGAGGCAGGAGGATCTGCAGTTCAAGGCCAGTCTAGGCTACATAGTGAGTTCAAGGTCAGACTTGTGATACAGCTAGACTGAAGTCATAGAATCAGGGGCCGTTGTGACTCCCCTCTACCATCTCCTGAGCATTTGTTATGAACCCAGGTTTGGTCTGCCACATTGACAAGATAAAAGGAAGTTGAAAAGTTAGCAATACCAGGAAGATGATCTTCTGTCACCTGCATTGCTTATGGCTGTTGTCATTTATTTTGTATTTACTTTATACCAGGCTCTGCATGAGCTCCTGTTGTCCAACTCAAGTGCTTGACCTTGGGATCTGTCAGGGAAAGAACAGCATAAACCACTGCCTGTTGGCAAAATGGAGCCTATGGCCTATTTTTATACAGTCAGATCTAAAAAAACGTTTACAGTTTGTAGGGGTTGGAAAAAAATCACCAGTCCACAAAGAATACTTAGCCAGGACCATCTTGTCCTATAAAACCTGTAGTATTTACTTGTGGGTCCTTAACAGCAAAAACTTGTAAACCCTGGGATGAAAGAATGAGGCAAGCTAGGCGGTGGTGCACGCCTTTAATCCCAGCACTCAGGAGGCAGAGGCGGGCGGTCTGCAGAGTTCCAAGACAGCCAGGGTTACACAGAGAAACCCTGTCTGGGGGGAGCGGGAGAGAGAGAGAGAGAGAGAGAGAGAGAGAGAGAGAGAGAGAGAGAGAGAGAAGAGAGCTGGAGGCAGCACTGGGCTGAGTTCCATCCCAGTGAATGGAACCACATAAACACGGTGTGCAAGCCCAGTGAATGGAACCACATAAACACGGTGTGCAAGCCCAGTGGATGAAACCACATAAACACGGGTGTGCAAGCCCAGTG